TTTTTTTAGTTTCTTTTCTATAACTCACTTAAATTAATTTTTTCATTTACCTATGTTCTGACTAAATAAATTTCTTAAGAGAAAAAATAGATAATATTATAAATAAATAATAAATATTATTATAAATAAATAAATAAAAATAAAGAAAAAACATAGCCATTTAGCTGATTTTTTCATGTAAAGGCCAAAAATGGTGATTTTTTGAAATGTTTGTATGGTGAACCCCCAGGGGAGTTCCAGGGGGTGTGCCACTGGCATGGGGGTCGGTCATACATTTGGACTCGATTGGAGCACTCTAAATGGGTCAAAGTGGGATTTTTCAAAATTTGCCCCTACCCAAAAGTTCGACCCAAATTGGGGGACATCAGAATTCGTTTTAGAGGTATGGTTCCTTCGGCAAAGTTTCTTATTTTGATCCCTAGAATACGATTTTCACAGAGCAATGAGCGATTTTTAAATCGACCCGCCCTAACGGACAGTAATTGGCGGCATACACGTGGGAATGACTCGCGCGTCATTTGTGTACGTATTGACTCACGTTCGACTTCACACAGTTGAATCATTCAGAGTTATGCCAACCCAATAAACATTTTTGTTATATCTCAATTTGAGATGCATTTGAGAATCAGTCCTTTTCTCAAATCTCAAATGTTAATTCTCAAATGCATCTCAAATAACCATTGATAGCGTTCACAAACTCAAAGGCACTTTTTTAATATGAAATTTTCCTTTATTTTCAAACTGAGATATGTTGAATTCTCAAGTTTTTCTCAAGCGTGAGTGGAGCGGAACGAAATGAAATTCAGTTACTCTCATTGAAATATTTGGATAGTGTTGCCAAGGATACATGTACGAGAAACACAGTTTTATAGGAAAGGAATTTTTATTTATGCAGTTTAACAGTTGATTTAATAGCATATTTATACAGTTAGTTTAACAAAGAATAATACGGTTGATGTAAAAAATTAGTTGCATAGTTAGCGAATAACAGCGACAGCATAGTCGAAGAGTCATTTTGCGACTGATGTAGCAGACTACCGATGGACCATGTGCCATGTTGACACAGATAGAACGGAATGGAATGCCAACAAATTTTTTCCCAAACTGTTCTTAAATTGATAAACAATGTTTGAGAAAAATTTTAGAAAATTTTTAGTTTGAAATGAAAAACCATGCTGAAAATCAAATTGAGAAATACGATTTTCTCAAACGTTGGAAAATTTTTGTTCCAGTCTGTTTTCACAAACACATCCAAACCGACTCACGAGTCAGACGCACGGTGGATGCCGCCTATAAGCAATTTCTAACATACAAGCTGTTTTCTTTTTAAAGATATGTGTTAGTTACACGGACATGACTCTTGGCATGACTAGGGATGGGTAGTGGGGGGTTGAAATTCGATTTTTTCCGAATTTCGAACATTGCCCAACGATTCGATTATTCGATTCGAAATTTGGTGGTGCAAATTCGATTTAGTTCGAATTTTTTCGAATTTTCAAAAAAAAAAATTCTGAAAATTTAAAAGTTTGTTTGTAAGAATGACAACTCAAACCGAAAAAGAGATTCAGATGAACTTATATTAATATGATTAACTATCCATATCGCTCTTTTTTGCTTCACAACCAAAAAAAATACAAATAATTTTTTTTTTCAAAAAAATATCTAAAAAACCAAAAATTTGGCAAATGTAGCATATTGAAACTAAATTTTTGGGGCGTATAACATGATTTCATTTATTTTTCTTGCTTTAAAAAAAACAAAGAATTTTTCGCATACTTCACGTTACATACATATGCAATCATACGTATGTTTATTAAAAAGTCTTACAATTAATGACAACGTATGATTTTGCGTTTTAAAGCGAGATCTTTAAGTAAACAATTAAGAAAATAGATAATAGGGCATGAAGAGTTCTACCCAGCCACATTTTTGGTTTGTCCATAGCTAAACGGCCGGTAATTTTGACTCATGCAAAAAATTTCACTTCACATTTGACATCAGTGTTGGAAAATGGAATGTCAATCACCTGCCACAAAAAATTTGACAACAGCCTTTGACATGCACTGCGATATCTACATTTGGTCAGTTTTTATAATGTATTTGACACCAAATGAACAGCTGTTATTTAAAGCAGTTTCAGTTATTTCGACATAATGAAAACCAGACATTAGATAAAGTTTTAAGATCATAAAGCATCTGAAATATTATTTATTTTTTATGAATTTATTTGTATAGCTGGGATGTGTAACTATAAATACATTTCACTGTGAGTTAATACTTAAACATTTATGGTGACGTGCATTAATGTCCATCGAATTGATGCCGCTGACATTAATACACAATTGAAAAGTGAATATTAATGTCATTAACATTATTGCACGTCACCACATTTATCGAAGTTCCAATTATTCCACTTTCTTGTATATTTTTAATTCATTCGCTGCATCAAAAATATCGATTTTTATACAGGATACATCGATATTTTGTTGCCTCAGATCGAAAAAACTTCGATGTATTTTATAGACTTGCAGCCCTAATGCAAATATGGTGCCACACACAGAGATGCCAAATTTTGTCAGAAAGAAGAAAGTTGCAGAGCTGATTTTTTGCAAATAAAGACGAAATTCCATTTTTTCTAAAAAAATTCGATTTTATCCGAATTTTAGCACCATAAAGTTCGATTTCAAAAATTCGTAATTTTAGAGCTAAAGTTCGATTAAAATTCGAATCTCGAAGCTTCGAATATCGAATTTACCCATCCCTAGGCATGACTCTGAATGATTGAACTGTTTGTAGTCGAAGGCGAGTCAACACGTACACAAATGGATCGCGAGTCAGACGCACCGTGCATGCCGCCTATTACAAACGTTTAGTTTGAAAATTCAAATCATACTGATGCTGTTTTCCCATTTTTCAATGGATTTTACACTTAAAAATGTATACGGAAAATGCTGCATTTTGTAAGTCTGAAGTTCTGAACACATTGAAAACGACGAGCTACCGACCACAGCTTCCGATTTGTCATCTTTATTATCTAAGCGCTTTGTCGATGGCGACATGATTTCTTTGAACGCGGCAGCGACATCATGAATTTGTATGAGTTTGACATAAAAGAAGAGGAAGAACGTTATCTGTCGCCAGAAAAATAGAAATAGATCTAATCTGGCCACAACCACAGCCGTCGCGTAGCCCGGTCGTCGCCAAAATAATTATCTACATAAGAGTACGTGTTAAAATAATTTGACAGCTGTGGTTTGTAGCTCGTCGTTTTCATTGTGTTCGGGCTATGAGGCAACAAACACGGAATTTTTCGTTAATTTTTTAATTAAATTCTCTTAACCGAATATGACCCAAATCGATCTAACATATGTGTAAATGTATGTATGGTTATTTATTTTCAGGGTTACATGTCCGGTGGTGCTGGTTACGTGCTTAGTAAAGAGGCGGTGCGTCGTTTTGTCGAGAAGGCCATACCAGACAAGAATCTGTGCAAACAAGACAACACAGGCGCAGAAGATGCGGAAATAGGCAAATGCTTGGAGAATGTTAATGTAATCGCTGGCGATTCGCGGGATCAGCAAACACGTGGTCGCTTCTTCCCATTCGTGCCAGAACATCATCTAATACCATCGCATACAGACAAAGGTTTTTGGTATTGGAAATACATTTATTACAAAACCGATGAGGTGCGGAGCATGCGATGTTTTTCTAAAATTTCCTATCAAACTAATTGCCTTTTGATGTTTCCCATCCTCTCAAACAGGGCTTAGATTGTTGCTCGGACACAGCCATTTCTTTCCACTACGTGACGCCTAATCAAATGTATGTGTTAGATTACCTGATCTATCACTTGCGACCGTATGGCATTATCAATACGCCAGAGGCGCTGCCTGAACGTCTGCAAGTGGGCCAAATTATGCCACAGCTTGTGGAGCCTGCGTCTGAAACCGAAGAAAGCAATGCAAAGGCATCATAAATAGAAGCTTAGTTATTGAGTAATAGTTGTAATTGTATGTATGTAATTATACCTTAATAGGCATGCTTTCATAAAAGTAACCGCTTAGTAAATATTTTTTAAACTGCGTATTCTATATTTAAGTTCTTTTCAATGGGTGTAATAGTAAGTACAAGCGCTTAGTTTTGTATGTACATATCTACTGCCATTGTGCCAGCTGGAAAAATTGGTACTGAAATGATCTAAAATACGTCATTAAAATAAAAGCAGAAAATGTACAAGTTAAAAACTTCTAAACGATTCCAAGTTCTACTAGATATGTAGTTTATTTAATTAGTTTTAAGTTAGAATAAAAAATAGTTACACATACTAGTCTATTCGGTATGAATATACTATTCCTATTTTAATGAAATGCAATGAAAACAATTTCAAAACTAATTATTTTCGGTGGATATAGTCAATGTTAGCGATGTCGAAAGCCTAGGAATTTGTAAGATGTAATATACATACATATGTCAGTTTGGTTAAAGTAGCATTTTTATATAAATAAAATGTTGAAGAAATCCTAAGTTTTCGAGTATCTCGCTAACACATCGTTATTTATAAAGCAATATAAGCACTGCTTTGAATAAATAAAATGCAGTAAAATGCAAAAGCTAAGCAAATTAAATTTGTAGGCATCTTACATATTATGCAAAACATTTGCGTACACATACCAAATTAGCTTAAATGCCAAAGAAAATGCTTTCATGATAAAAATTAATACGTGTGTAACAAGGCTATTTATATTTGCCAAAAATTAAAGGCTATGAATTTATTTTTCAAATATTTTACATTGGAATAAAATACAAACTAATTAAGCGATTCCTTTAAAGTTCGAAAGCGAATGAACCCAAAAACCTAAAAAAAAAAAAAATTGCGAAAGCTTTGACAGTTCTACCCAAGTATCGTATTTTCGTGGCTTTTTTATCATGAAATTCTTCAGTTAAACTACTCCTACCCTTGCGTACCAAAAATAGCAAGGTTTAGTACTTGCCCATTTTTTAAATTTATTTTTCTAATATTTTTATGCATTATCTTTGCATAAAAACATGACTGCTTACATACATACATAACGCTGTATGCATTTATTGTTTAGGTATAATTTAACATGTAGTACAGACAGACGATATATGTACCTATTAAATTAAATAATTTTGCCATTTTTTTTGTATACTTAGTATTGGCAGATAATTAATTTAAGCAAACACAAAGACATGCACAAAAGGCGGCGGCACTATTCAAATATAAAAATAATATTTAATAATATCCCAACGGTTTTTACCCTCCATTCCCGCCCATCCGCACGNTCACGATAGGCAGGAGTTTGTTAAGTGTCGAGATCTAAAACTGTTCAGCTACAGAACTAAATTCATCAGCTGATTTTATGTATTTATGTCAATAATTCACTTATTGAGAGAGGAGAGTATCGCTTGCTTTACGTAGATACATTCATACATATGTATATACATATGTTATAAGTACGTAAATTTTACAGAATTAAATTTGAATTAAAAATTTTTCGAGTTGCGAAATTAAAACTGACTTTTTATTCCAAAGCTATTGTTAGCTGAATCGAGGAGGATGACTTCATAGGCGATATAAACAACTGAAATTTTAATAAGCAATTTATTATAAAGAAAAAATAGTTACATATGTATTTTTAAGAACAAGATTATCATTATTATATCAGCTGATCGCAAGTAGCACGATAAATTTAAAACATATATGTAAATATATTAGACTGCGCCTTAGTTGTATTGAGAAAATTATTTGTCAAGCTACAAAGCAAGACTCCACCTAGAAATGTTCCGATCGTCTTAAAAACGTGCCAGCGAAAAATTTTTAAAATCGGATAACGGAAACACATGCCTCAACGGCCATAAACTTCAGCATTTTTATATAATTTTTCACAAATTGGTTATAATTTTCTATAAGTCTGTGGGAAATTTAATATATTTTAAGGGCTCAAGTATGACTACAATATTTATAAACCTTCCCAACTTTTAAAATGATTGAAAAATTTTTTTGAGATTTCATAAGTTAAATTTTAGCCCAGTAAATTTAGATGTAATTCTTCCTCTTCTTCTTATTTGGCGCTGTAACCGCCTAAGCGATTTTGGCCGAGTCCAAAACAGCACGCCAGTCATTTCTCTTCTGTGCTAACTGACGCCAATTGAAAATGCCAAGTGAAGCCAAGTCCTTCTCCACCTGGTCTTTCCAACGCAGAGGAGGCCTTCCTCTTCCTCTGTTCCCAGCATCGCGGCCCGCGTTGAATATTTTCAGAGCAGGAGCGTTTCTGTCCATCCGAACGACATGGCCAAGCCAGCGGAGCCGCTGAATTTTAATTCGCTGCACTATGTCTATATCGTTGTAAAGCTCATACAGCTCATCGTTAAATCGTCTGCGATATTCGCCATCACCAACGCGTAAAGGTCCGTAAATCTTTCGCAGAATCTTTCTCTCGAAAACTCCAAGAGCCGCCTCATCAGATGCTTTCATTGTCCATGCTTCCGCGCCATACACCAGCACAGGCATGATGAGTGACTTATAGAGTGTGATCTTTGTACGACGAGAGAGGACTTTACTTCTCAATTGCCTACTCAGCCCAAAGTAGCACTTGTTGGCAAGAGTGATTCTCCGTTGGATTTCAAGGCTGACATTATTATTGGTGTTAATGCTGGTTCCCAAATAAACGAAGTCGTCTACTTTTTCAAACTTGTAACTGTCAACAGTGACGTGGGTGCCAAGACGCGTATGCTCTGACTGTTTGTGTGATGACAGGAGATACTTCGTTTTGTCCTCGTTCACCACCAGACCCATTCGCTTTGCTTCTCTATCCAATCCCGAGAAGGCAGAACAGACGTAGCCCTTGTTTTTACCGATAATATCGATGTCGTCGGCATACGCCAGCAATTGTACGCTCTTATAAAGTATTGTGCCTGAGCGGTTCAGTTCTGCGGCTCTTATTATCTTCTCCAACATAAGATTAAAGAAATCACACGAAAGGGAGTCCCCTTGTCTGAAACCTCGTTTGGTATCAAACGGCTCGGAGAGGTCCTTCCCTATTCTGACGGAGCTGGTGGTATTGCTCAACGTCATTTTACACAGCCGTATTAGTTTCGCGGGGATACCAAATTCAGACATCGCGGCATAAAGGCAACTTCTCTTCGTGCTGTCGAAAGCGGCTTTGAAATCGACAAATAGATGGTGTGTGTCGATCCTATTCTCGCGGGTCTTTTCCAAGATTTGGCGTATTGTGAATACCTGATCTATGGTGGATTTTCCAGGCCTAAAGCCACACTGATAAGGTCCAATCAGCTCGTTGACGGTGGGCTTCAGTCTTTCGCACAATACGCTCGATAAGACCTTGTAACCTATGCTTAGAAGGCTAATTCCGCGGTAGTTGGCGCGTATGGCGGGGTCGCCTTTCTTGTGGATTGGGCAGAGCACACTTAAATTCCAGTCGTCGGGCATGCGTTCATCTGACCATATTCTGCATACGAGCTGATGCATGCACCTCATCAGCTCCTCGCCGCCGTACTTGAATAGCTCGGCTGGCAGGCCGTCAGCTCCAGCAGCTTTGTTGTTTTTCAGCCGCGTAATCGCTATTCGTACCTCGTCATAGTCAGGCGGTGGGACAGCTACTCCATCATCATCGACTGGGGACTCGGGTTCGTCTTCCTCACTACTTTCAGCGCTGCTACCATTCAGTAGGTTATAAAAGTGTTCCCTCCACAATTTAAGTATATTCTGGACATCGGTCACTAGGTCGCCATTGTTGTTCTTACAGGAGTTCGCCCCGGTCTTGAAACCTTCCGTAAGTCGCCTAACCCTCTGGTAGAATTTTCGGGCGTTCTTCCTGTCGGCCAGCATCTCAAGCTCTTCGCACTCACGTATTTCGGCCTCTCTCTTCTTATTGCGGCAAATACGTCTCGCTTCCTTCTTCAGTTCCCTATAACGGTCCCACATGGCTCGCGTTGCGCCCGATCGCAGCGTGGCCCTGTAGGCGGCATCTTTTTTCTCTGCGGCTTCTTGACATTCCTCATCGTACCAGTTGTTCTTTCGGGCTCGCTGAAATCCAACTACTTCTTCGGCGGCGGTACTTAATGATCGGGAAATGTGGTTCCACTGCTCGCGTACGTCGGATTGTTGAAGAGTGCTCTCAGAGAGCAGGTGTGTGAGTCGAGTGGCGAATAAATTGGCCGTCTGTTGTGATTGCAGCTTTTCGACGTTAAGCTTTCCTTGCATTGTTGGGCGCACATTTTTTGCTGCACAGAGGCGGGTGCGTATCTTGGCTACAACAAGATAGTGGTCCGAGTCGATGTTTGGCCCTCGGAGTGTACGTACGTCCAAAACGCTTGAAGCATGCCTTCCGTCTATCACAACATGATCGATTTGGTTTCTCGTTTTTCGATCTGGAGACAGCCATGTAGCTTGGTGGATGTTCTTATGCTGGAACCTAGTACTACATATTACCATATTTCGGGCCCCGGCGAAGTCGATCAGCCTCAGTCCGTTATCGGACGTTTCGTCGTGGAGGCTGAATTTTCCGACAGTGGCGCCAAAGATCCCTTCCTTGCCCACCTTGGCATTAAAATCGCCAAGCACGATTTTGACATCGTGTCGGGGGCAGCGCTCATATGTACGTTCCAAGCGCTCATAGAAGAGATCCTTGGACGCCTCATCCTTCTCTTCCGTCGGGGCATGGGCGCAGATGAGCGAGATGTTGAAGAATCTAGCTTTGATGCGGATTGTGGCTAGACGTTCGTCCACCGGGGTGAACGCCAGTACTCGGCGACGGAGTCTCTCTCCTACCACGAATCCAACACCGAATTTGCGCTCCTTTACGTGGCAACTGTAGTAGACGTCGCAAGGCTTCACGCTTACTTTACCTTGCCCCGTCCATCGCATTTCTTGGATGGCGGTGATGTCAGCCTTTGTCTTCCCGAGGACATCAACCAGCCGGGCAGAGGCACCTTCCCCATTAAGGGTCCGGATATTCCAGGTGCATACCCTTAAATCATAGTCCTTTATACGTTTGCCGTGGTCGTCATCAGAAAAAGGGGGTCTCATCCGAGGCTGTTTGTTTCTTTTCATTGGGCGGGGTTTTAACGTGGCGGGACCCAAACCCAGCGCACGCGAAGTTTTACGCCTTCTCACTTTAGCTCGCTCCCAAACGGGTGTTTGGTTGCTACCCAGAGGATACGTGGATATAAATATCCGGACGTTGTGAGCTGCGATTTGAACCGTACGCACAAGAATCGCTTCTGGCCACTCCCAGGTGAATGGCAGTCAAAAGTTTTCCACTTCTGCGCACGGAACCATCCTCTAGATGTAATTAGTATGAAGAAAAAAAGTTTGTACCAGCGAGATTTTGATGCAGTTTGCTTCTATTTCACACGTCGATCATGGACCTACAGTCTTGCTCCATATAGGAACATTCCGCCATCTTAGAGTTAAGGTTTTTTGGGTTTATTGCGATTTTCAAGCATGGCCGTACGCAGGTAGGGGCTGGAGAGTGCGCAAGGTCTCCGCCCACCAAATTTCAAAGTTTCGTTGTAAGTTTCTTTCTATAAATTCATAATCAATTTCCAATTAAAAAAATGTATGCACATCCATTAGGGCGGGTCGAAAATCTAATTTTTCTCAAATCCCTTGGTAATAGTGAAAATATATTGTTCANTGAGGTAAACAAATAAAAATATAAAACAGTAATAGAGTAAAACCCGCTTAAGTACCTCGCGAAAAATGTCAGCTTTTTGAGGTACTTAGGCGAGTTGGGTACTTAAAAGAACCCGCTTAAGTACCTCGATGCGGGTACTTAAGCGAACATAATTATTGATGTAGTTACATCTTTTTGTTCACTTACATAAATATGTAAATCCTTGAATAAAACATAAACATTTAATGAAGTATACGTATTTATTTAAGAGTTTTCTATTAAAATACGCTGCCACTGAGATTCAAAATATGTAATTATATTAAGGAATTTTAAAAGAGCACTTAAAAGGGGAAAAATATAGGTAAAATGGTAAAAGGGGTACGAAAAATTGAGGTACTTAGGCGGGTTGGGTAAATAAGCGGGGAAGTACTTAAGAGAGGGATTTTCTTCAGATTACATCCAAAAATTCACATTGCCCAAAAATGTTGGTTACTTAAGCGGGTTAGGCACTTAAGCGGGGGGGGGGGTACTTAAGCGGGTTTCACTGTATCATGAAGTCAACAACAAGCCTGCAAAATATTTGCCTTTGATTTTAATTGTAAGAGCCTGCCCATCGACCGCCAAGTGACCCACAGCAC